TGGTCATTTGTTTGCAGTTCCTGGATATGATTAATATTCTGCATTATTCGTTCTCTTGATTTGACCATGACTGATATCAAGCTTGTTCCTGTTTTTAGTGGTTTAAACATATCATCTCTTTGCAGGTCTTGGGTGTTATTAATAATTCACATTATTTATACCGGATGGCAATACTAAGGGCAATATCTTTACTTGCACCTGTAATGGGTTCTGAGATAACATGTTCTAAGTTGCTGCCAGTGGTTATTACTGTAGCAAAGGACAGGTGGTTTTGCTTTTCAATTCTTGTTAAAGTCATTATATGCATCAGTTCCTAGATCTGATAGTCCAATTTCATTTCTTCTCCAGAGTGCCCAACGTCAAATTTAATGTTGCAAAGGTGTTGCAGTCCCTTATCCCTGTTGTTGACCAATCAGTGAGAACTCTCATCTACCTTTTTTTCTTGGATTGGTTACTTGGTTTAGCGATTGAGCTTACTTACGTTGTTGTTTGTTGAAGAAAGTTTACACTTGTATATCCTCACTATACCTTAGTGCCGACTTTCTAAGCCTCTTATTGCCAGGTAGCAGAGAAAATGATTCGCTCTAGTTTAGTAGAGCTAGCTGAGGACCCTGATGTCGATGTCCGTTTTTATGCAAGTCAAGCACTTCAGTCAATTGATGGTGTCATGATGTCAAGCTAGACAAACTTATCTGTTGGGGGTTCACTACCAGAAATCTGTTGTCAAATACTCTCTGGACGTCTGGGATTACGCCGTCACACCAGGAAACAGTTAAGGGAAGACAGAAAGTGAAATACATCTGTTTGAGATAGTGTTATTAATACTAATATATATTTGGGATGTGTCAAATATGAAATGCTCCCTACAGTAAGCTCAAGTATTTACATGTAAATTGGCTGTTAGACTAACTAATTAGTATTGTCGAATGAATGTTTGTTCTTATTAGATTCTTTCTAGTTACTAAAGGCTGTTATATATCCAAATACAAATTTGCAATTCTATCATAGTATGAAGTGTCAAATACTCTTGAACTTATCGTGAAATATTAATTTTATTTTTGAACTATTGACAGTCTCAGAAACACCACTCTATCAACTCAACTTAAATACATCTGATCTGCCACATGATATAACAACTGGTCTCAAACTCTTGTAGGAGCGTGATACGCTAGCTTGACCAAAGGCTACTGTTCTTTTCCATTTTGTTTACATTCACTAAAACAGCTATTTTCTCAATTTTCATTAGCTCACTCCAAAGAAAGAAGATGGCAGATCAAGTTGTGACTACAGCTGCACGTTTTCTGCTAGAGAAATTGTTGCACCTAATAAATAAAAATGCAAATCGTCTCCATATTTATGAGACGGTGTTTGATTGAGGATGGAGTTTGATAGACATATATATTAGCACAAACTCACTCGGTTCTAATTTATGTGAAGGTGTTTGACTGAGTAAAAGAAGATTCTCATATAGTTCTCAGAACAGATTGAGCAGTACTAATATAAGGATGTGAAAAGAGATATGTGGCGTTATGGCTAAAGAAGATTAGTGTCTCGTCGTCTTGGATGATTTGTCCGCGACAGAAATTGTAGATTATGTCAAAAGAGTTCTCTCGAAAAACAACAGAGGTCATCGAATCATGATGACCACTACTGACAGATACTTTCCTACGATACAAGATCCAGCTACATCTCGTGAATGAGGAAACTGAAGGGTGCTAAGGGTCGCTGCTAAAGATTAAGTATTATTGGCAACTATAATTGCCACTAAAGAGTATAAGGGTCGCCGCTAAAGATGGAGTATTAGCAGCAGCTGTGATCGCCACTAAAGGGTCTAAGGCTCGCCGCTAAAGATGGAGTATTAGCAGCAACTATAATCGCCACTAAATGGTCTAAGGGTCGCCGCTAAAGAATGAGTATTAGCAGCAACTGTATCGCCACTAATGGGTCTAAGGGTCGCCGCTAAATGAAGTATTAGCAGCAACTATGATCGCCACTAAAGGGTCTAAGGGTCGCCGCTAAAGATTGAGTATTAGCAGCAACTGTATCGCCACTAAAGGGTATAAGGGTCGCCGCTAAAGATGGAGTATTAGCAGCAACTGTGATCGCCACTAAAGGGTATAAGGGTCGCCGCTAAAGATGGAGTATTAGCGGAAAATTTGATCGCCACTAAAGGATGTAAGGGTCGTCGCTAAAGATTGAGCGTATTAGTGGCAACTATAGATGGAGTATTAGTGGGAACTATAATCGCCACTGAAGGGTTTATATGTCGGCGCTAGAATGAAGTATTAGTTATCGCCACTAAAGGGTATAAATGTCGCCGCTAAAGATGCAGTATTAGTGGCAACTATATTAGTGTTGGGAAGGCTTCCAAGATTTCACTTCCCAAAACTCAGGAACCTTGTTCTTCTCCAATGTGATACGCTTAAACATGTGCCTGATTAGCTGCATATTGTATTGAGAAGCAGGACATCGCGGAATTGAAAACGTGCTAAACCAGTCAAACAATGTCCTTCTTGATAATGATATTAAGGTCGCCGAATTCATTTTGTTCATAAATTATTTTAAGTTTCTACTATACACAATTGGGGGATATTTTAAGTCCAACAATGCATGATCAATAGTCTTTTACTACTAGTATATCTTGTTATTCTAACTTCATACAACTTTTATGGTACAATAGGCCTATGTTGTTGTTGTTGTACTCGTGTCATATCCTCCAGAAATGACCTACTTTTGGAGGATCGGACACACCATTAGAGTCCGAGCAACAGAGCTATAGGCTAGATGGGAGTATTTTGAATGAATTAAGTAATTATGGGTAGTAGCTAGTCAGTAATGGTGGTTGACAGTAGTAGTTGATGCCTAATGGTGGCAACAGGTGGTGGCTGATTATAGTTATAGGCTTATATCTAATAGGTGGTGGTGAATGATGTCAGTAATTATTAGTATTAATATATAGTGGTTAACTAAAGGGAATGATTGTCGATAGTAATTAACAAATAAAAAATAAATGGTGTTTTCTTAATTTAGTATAAAATTGTCTATATCAAAAGAAAGAAAACATTAATAAACCAGAGGAAGGTTCTTGCATGGTAAACATCCTTCACCTTCAATTCTAAAGTAGCGAGTCCGAGCCATCAAGGGAACAAAAAGAGTAGGAGCTAAGTTGACACAGATCTGTTTTCATGCATCAAACTGGCATTAGCTTATTTTATTTTATTAAGTCAGTCAATACAGATCTGATTTTAGGCACCCAACTGGCATTGACTTAGTTTATTTTAGTAAATCAAAATAAGTTATTAATAACCACTAACATGGTGTTGGAAATTAATGAAAGGATGTTATATAATATCTTGAATTACATCCAAAAAGTATTTTTGTTTTAATTTCTCTCCATA